AACTATGGCTTGCCCAAGGTCATCCAGCCAGGTGCAAGTGGAGGCGTGGGGAATCAAACCTGGTTCTCCCAGATTAAAGTCCGCGCACTTCACCACAACACCAACCTGGCATTTGAAGACCAAAGGGGTTGACGTGGAAGCCAGGGGGGGACGGAAGGATCTGGAGTCTTGTCCTGCGTCTGCCTCTGAGTTAGTTTGTGGAGGGGTGTTTGAATTACCCCGTCTGTGCAGCAAGAGAGGCGGTTGCCCCTTGCCTGCCTCTGCGTAGTGACCGTGGGCTTCCTTAGGGGGGGTCTCCTATCCAAGTTCTGTCTGTGGCCGACCCTCCGAGGATCACTGCGTAGCAATCCTAGGCTTCCTTGGAGAGCACTAGCCAGGGCCGACCCTCCTTAGCTTCCGGGATCAGGTCAGGGCCGATGGATGTTAATGGGGACTGATATCACAGAGTTCTTGTGGAGCGGGCACCATTAAAATATATATATATCAGTGTTCTGCTTTGCAAATTCAAAGGGCTCATGCGATATAGCGGCTGGAGAGTTGAAACAGGATCAGGAAGGACCAGGATCCAAATCTCTGGTCTGGAGGCTGAGCTAGGAGATCTCGGGCCTTTATTCTCTCTCAGCCTAACCCTACCTCTAAAGGTTGTTGTGAGGATCAAAGGAAAGAGATGGCGTTGTAAGCAATGCTCCCTCTGAGCTGCGGAGTCCTGCGAGCAAAAATCCCACTTTGCGAGGGACTGGCATTCAAGTTGAGAGCAAGGGATTTGGCTGCTGCATCAATCAGTTTGCTCCGGAGACCTCCTTCTGGGGCTCGGACAACAAATGTGTGAGCCGGAGGCTCAAAAACTGTGAGCTAGCTCACACTGACTCAGCTTAGAGGGAACACTGGTCGGAAGTGACTTTAGGTCTCCCCCCCCCGTCCCGCCAGTAGTGAAGAAACGTGGGGGTCAGTTGAAAGAAAGGAGTGGTCAGATTGTGAATCTTCAGAATTAACTTGCGAGACAGATGACTGGCGTTTGTTTACCTTCTGCCTCTGCATCCTGCCTGTCAGTCATATAACTGGTTCCTGGTAGTGGAAGGTGCCTTCGAGTTGCAGCTGACTTGTGTGTGGTGACCCTGCAGGGTTTTCGAGGCGAGAGGCGAACAGAGTTGGTTTCCCGTTGCCTGCCTCCTGGCATTCCTTGCTGGTCTCCCATCCAGACGCTAAGCAGGCTGACTCCACTTAGCTTCCAAGATCTGATAAGAGCCAGTTTGGTGTCGTGGTTAAGTGCGCGGACTCCAATCTGGGAGAACCGGGTTTGATTCCCCACTCCTCCACTCGCAGTGGCTGGATGACCTTGGGCAAGCCATAGTTCTGATAAGAGCTGTTCTTGAAAAAGAGCAGTTTCTGTCAGAGCTCTCTCAGCCCCACCTACCTCACAGGGTGTCTGTTGTGGGGAGGGGAAGGGGAAGGAGTTTGTAAGCCGCTCTGAGACTCCGAGTGAAGGGCGGGGTATAAATCCAATCTCTTCTTCTTCTTTAGG